GAATGGCTTGTTTAGGTCTTCTGCCCATTTTTGGATTGGGTTGTTTATTTTCTTCTTGTTGAGTCGTATGAGCTGCTTGTATACTCTGGAGATCAAGCCTTTCTCGGTTTCATTTGCAAAAATTTTTTCCCATTCTGTAGGTTGTCTTTTTGTTTTACTTATGGTTTCCTTTGCTGTGCAAAAGCTTGTAAGTTTCATTAGTTTATTTGTTTATTCTTCCCTTTATTATTTTTTTGTTTTGTTTCACTTTTTTTGGAGGGGGGAGATAATTAGGTTTATTTGTCTATTTGAGAGGCGGTACTGGGGATTGAACCTAGGACCTCGTGCATGCTAAGCATGTGCTCTACCACTTGAGCTATGCCCTCCCTCCATATCTTGTTCTTTTAAAGTTTAATTTTTATTATCTTACCCCAAGTCTGTAAGGAGGAGCGAAAAAGAGGATATGGAAATCACCTGTAAGCCCACTATTCGGAAAGGTTGTACTCTGTGTTTAGTTGTATGCCTTTTTTAAAAGTTGATAGTTTTGTGAGAATTTTCCATCATCATTGAATCTTTATGGTTGTAAATTCTTCAGTGGCTTCATAGAACTATCTGTGTGTGTGCCGGAAGTTCACCGCTTCCCCAGTGGTCAGTCTGAAGTCTGGTATCAACCCCAGATTGTCTTGCTGCCTGAATCCTTAGTAGCATTTCTGATTGTTTTGTTGCAAAAAATTCTTAGACATGAAGTCACTAAGTCAGTAGGAATGAAACCTTGAAGGCTGTTGGTACTTTCACCTCCTTAGCTCCCAGAAAGTCATCCTGTCTGTGCCAGCGGGCCTGCTGTGGTTCCGAGCGGCACAGGTGGCCTCTACCGTTCTCCCCAAGCCGACCTGTGAGCAGACGTGCAGGAGGCACGGCTGAGGTCTGTGGACACCTGGGCTAGAATCCTCAAAGGCCGTCCTCGGTCAGCCGGTGTGTGGACGGGCACATTTCTGAAAGCGGGGGTGGGTGTCTGAGTGGGTGTCTCTGTGTCTGAATTTCAGGGGTCCTGTGGTCTGAAGCCATCTTCCTGGAGGCGAGGCCCCAGAGGAAGACCAAAAGTGTGGATGCCCTGAAGAAGTGTGAGCACGACCCCCACGTGCTCCTGGCTGTGGCCAAGTGAGTGGGGGTCTTCATAGTGTTGCTGACCCTCTCGCGGGCGTCTCCTGGTCCTGGGAACAGGGTGGGCTCCCCGGTCCTTGGCCCCCACAGCTCTCTGACAGGGCGCGCCTCCCGGCAGAGGCCACGCGGACGTGGGCTACCTGGATTGCCTGCGCAGTCCCGGTCCCCTGGGAGGGCGGCCTCTTCTGGGCCACTGACCTTCCTTCCCTCCGTTCTGGTTCCTTCGCACGGGTCTGCTCTGTCTCTGCCACTTTCTAGTGTATTCCTGCGTGTGCCTTGGGTTGCAGGATGGACACAGGCTTGCTGATGTCGGTCCATGCATAATTTGTTATAAGCAAACCTCGTTTGGATCAAAGGGCTGTGATCAGGAAAACTGTCATCCTGTTAGGGTGAGAAACCAGACCCTCTGACATGTGCTACCCTAAGAACAACCCAGGGCCTAGTCAGGGTGCCCAGAGGTGCAGAGGTGGACAAGCCCTCTCCCTCAGGGTGCGCAGCCTCACGTCGAGAGGTGAGCACGTGGCCTCCCGCTGCGAGCTCGTGTGGGCACTGGGCCTGGGAGGCTCGGGGAGACTGGCTGAGGTTGTGGCTGGTGCGTGGAGGGTCTCTTCTCCCTTCTAGAAGCAGGACGGCAGCCTGAGAGGAGCAGGGCCTGCATGCAGGGCCGGGGTTGGGTGTGGTCGGGCTGGGAGGGTCGGGATTCTCACCTGGGCGAGGGGGCGTATGGGGCCCAGGAGCTCCCATCGCTGTTGCCGCCTGGGCAGAAGCCTGGCCCCCCAAGACGCACCCGGGCGCCAGGGCCCCTCCTCAGGTCCTGCCCAGCACCTCCCCCGCCGGCTGCTGTGGGGGCTTCCCATAGGCACCTGGGGCCCAGCTCTGGCCGCCAGGGCTCCCCCTCTCCTGCCTGTGCCTCCGCCTCCACGGGTGACTTGTGTGTGATGCTCTGATAGGGCCGCCATAAAACCTCGTAAAAGGCTTTGTAAAGTAAACAGGACCCTCCTTGCTGTTCCCAGGCTGGGGCTGTGTGTGCTGCTATCTGGGCTTTGTGCTCTTAAATCACAGTTTATCTAACACTAAGCAATTAAGAATACCACAAGGCTTAAAAACCAATCAAGCTATCAGAGTAGCTGAGACCAGCCCTACAGCTGCCTGGAGGGTCTGCGGTGCACACACGTCCCTGGTGCTGCTGCCTGTGGAGTTGCGTGGAGGGGGCAAACGCCGATTCCCGGGCTGTCAGAGTACCCGCTGTCCTGCCCCA